CCTGCCGCACCCGCGCCGGCCCCGCCCCGCTCAAGGGCGAAGGGAAGGTCACCCGCAAAGTGGACAGAAGGCGAGGGTACTGGGCACATGTCCGGTGCATCCCTCCAGGGTGTGTGGCCTCGAAATAGGAGGTGGAAAATAAAAACCAAAATCCAGCTGCGGGAACACGTCTCCAGCCTGTGCGACCATTAAGGCTCCGAGGGCGCATTCCCCTGGGACGCGCTGCTCTGTTTAGCGGTCGGTTCTCCCCACCCAGGAATCTACATGGACCAGGAACCCCCAGCGACTGGGAACCCCGGCGCCCCCGCGTGCAGCCACGGCGAGGGGCCTGGGGCGCGACCGTGTCACTACTTCCTCTTAAATTTTACATAGTCTCAGCGAAACCGCGTCCCGGGGGCCCGGCATCCTTGAAATCAGCCTCCACGTTGGGGAAGGGGAAGCCTGGAGCCCGGAGCCCGCGCCCCGAGCGTTGGTGACGTCCCGGAGTCCCCGCTTCCTGGTCCTTCCAGTCTACGGAAGGCTGGCGGGAAGGGCCTGGTGACCCATTTTAGTTTTCGGTTTTGTTACGAGCCGGAAGACGACAGAAGGTAAGAGCGGGGGAAACCTGTTTTTGAAATCTCCCAGCGGAAACGCGCGGCGCCGAGGGCCGCCCAGGCAACAGCAGGCGGGGACCCCCGCGCGCCCCGCCGTGCAGGAGCCAGGACTCTGCCCGCGCCGCGTTGGGAGCGCGAGTCTCCGGGGTGCCCCGCGGGGACCCAGCCGTTTTCCCTACTACATTTTGGTAGCTGGGGTGGGCGTTGCGGCATCGGAGGTAGCTCCGGAGGGACGCTCGCCTCATCCCACCCCTCAGAGGCACAGGGACCTCCGAGGCGGCCCGACCGTGAGCCTCTACTTAAAAAACGCGGAGGTGGAAAATGAATTGATCTTCCGGCTGAAGATCCTACCGCCCTATCCGTCCTTCCCCCCACCACACCGCCCCCCGCAGTGACTCCTTCTGAGGCTACACCACCAGCCCCCGCCGCCCCGCAGATGCCCGGGCCGTTCCGAGCGCAAGGGCTGTTCCCGCCCGCCGCTGCTCCCCGGTTCTCTCCGGTCTCCCCCATCGCTTCTCCTTCCCCGTCCCCCCATCTCCTCTCCCCGGTTCTCCCAGGTCCCCACCCATCCCTCCGTTCCCGTCCCTCCTCCGGTCCAGGAGGCGGGCGGACGCACACCTTGGGCATCCCCGCCGCTGGTCAGCACGCCGATGGCTTTGCCGGCTCCGGAGAGGTGCTCCAGTAACTTTAAGGACCCCCTGGGGGTCGAGGGTACGTTGCCGTCCATGGCGAGGAGGCCGAGGAACGATGGCTCGCTGGGGCGCGCAACAGACAGTGAGGCCCCGGCCCGAGCGCGCCCGGCCGGCTCGGAACCGCCGCCCCGCCCCGCCCCTCCAGGCCCGGCCGGAGCGCCAATGGGCGGCGGCGGGCGGGGTCGTGCGCGCGGGAGGGGCCTGCCCGGGCTGCCGAGGACTCAGGCGCGCCGCCGGCGGGGGCG